AGAAACTTATTGGATAGCCTGTGCCTCGCTGTGTTAGTTTCCCAACATATGTCTGGATAGTTGAAGTCCCCCATCACCACCAAATCTTGGGCTTTGGATAGTTTTGTTAATTGTTTAAAAAAGGCCTCATCCACCTCTTCCACCTGGCTAGGTGGCCTGTAGTAGACTCCTCGCATGATATCACCCTCGTTTTTTACCCCTTTTAGCTTAACCCAGAGACTCTCTACACAGCTATCTCCTACGTTCATCTCCACTTCAGTCCAAGTGTGTACATTTTTAATATACAAGGCAACCCCTCCTCCCTTTTTTCCCTGTCTGTCCTTCCTGAGCAAGCCGTACCCTTCCATACCAACATTCCAATCGTGCGTCCCATCCCACTTCCACGGGCTACCCGGGCCTCTGGCCCCAGCAGCATGCTGCCATGTGCTGCCCCCAGCCGATCCTGTTCTCCCAGGGGCTGTCCTGACCTGGTCCCAGTTCTGCAGGCTGTCTGGCTGCTGCCAGCCCCTGCCCCATCCCGCTGCTTCAACCCAGCCCCACCTGGATTGATCTCCTGCCAGTAGGCTACCAGGTTCTCTGGTCCAGGAACGTCTGGGGTCCACTGGACCTGAAAGCTCCGGTTTTGGGAGGTGCAGCCTGTACTATGTATTAGTTCCCATAATAGAAGAACTAGAGGACACCAAATGAAATTAATGGGTAGCAGGTTAAAACTAATAAAAGAAAGTTCTTCACACAGCGCGTAGTCAACCTGTGGAACTCCTTTCCAGAGGAGGCTGTGAAGGCTAGGACTATAACAAAGTTTAAAGAGAAGCTAGATAATTTCATGGAGGTTAGGTCCATAAAAGGCTATTATCCAGGGGATAGGAATGGTGCCCCGGCCTCTGTTTGTCAGAGGCTGGAGATGGATGGCAGGAGACAAATCGCTTGATCATTGTCTTCGGTCCACCCCCTCTGGGGCACCTGGTGCTGGCCACTGTCGGCAGACAGGCTACTGGGCTAGATGGACCTTTGATCTGACCCAGTACGGCCATTCTTATGTACTTTCTAGGTCTATAAAATGTACATCAGCAAAGCAGTGAGACAATCTAGATACGTGCTGGTGGGTGAACTTTCATAACATGGTTATCGTTCAAACTGTGATCAGGAAAGAGAAGAAAACAAGCATGGTGTGTATCTGTCATAGTTTTTTCATTCATGGCAATATCTTCCATGAGAGGGTTGTTCTCATCAGATACCTTGTAGCAGGGATTTGGATGTAGCTAACTAGCAATGTACTCCAGTGATATAACTGTATTCAGGTTTGTAGATGTGTTTTAAGAATATTTCCTTGTCATTATTCCACCAGGTCACTCTGGAAATAAAAACTTCCTTTGGGGTCGATTTCTTTATAAAAGCCTTGAACATAAAACATTGGCGTGAGAAATGTTGTGTAAAATTCTTGTTTGGGATTTCTCAATGGCTTTGATGTCTCAAGTTAACTTTGTTTGAGGAAGTTTGCTCCAGTAGGAAAGTTTTTTTTTAATATTCCTAGAGTCAGTGTCAGATTAGTATCAGAGGGGTAGCTGTGTTACTCTGAATCTACAAGAACAATGAGAAAGTGGCACCTTATAGACTAACAGATTTATTGGAGCATAAGCTTTCGTGAGCAAAGGCCCACTTCGTCAGTGTCAGATTGTTCTATCTTAAATTGAAATATAATAAAAAATGGATAATTTCCATGCACCTATATTTACATCTGGATTAATGGTTAGTTTTGGGAAAAGGAAGAATGCCGTTACAGCATCTCACCCATTAGTCCCATTTCCATGGTTACTTGGAGTAACAATGTGGCCAGTACAATTGATCCCAGCCGTATACAAGTCATTTTCTCTGTACCAGGTCATTATGTGGAATGCCCTTCTTCTTTCTCCTTCAAATCCCCTTCTCACTTTTCCCCAAAGGGATTAATTGGATTCTCTGTGATGGATCAGCTGAGCTGAGTTGTTTCACCATCAGCAAACTCAGTGAGAAGCAAGAGCTGGAGGAGACAAAGGAAGAATTCTACTCAGGAGAATGTAGCAATAGGCTGCTTTGTAGCGTAGAACAACAATGTCCTTGAAATACCTTTTGGTAGGTTCACTGCTGAGACTGGAGGAGCAAGCAAACTGAAAGGTTTCCTCAATGATTCTTACAAACTAATGAACACATTTCATTAAGGTTTGGCAGCTTTTCCTAATATTCCCTATAACTAGCAAATCTTCCCAGGCAGTGCTGTGTTCCATGTTTGAAAAGAGAGTAACCCAGTAATTAAGTGATGAACGAAGGCAAATATACTGATGAGCATGTTGGGTGGTTAATTAAATACATGAAAGAAAGAGAATGTAAAACAAAACTGCCTATGTGATGTCCCTTGAGTCCCCTCACCTCCCTTCCCCGCATAGCAGAATTTATAACAAGAAAGGAGACACCTGCAGAAATGCTTTTCCCTTGGTTGGCCCTCTTTGGGCAGAAATTGCTGCCAAACCCCACCAGTCTTGCATACATAAGATAACTAATGATTATCTACCCAAATTACCTTCTAAAGCTCAATGTAATAATGGTATTCTCCAATGTAGCTCTATTCCCTTGATAATACATTGTAGCTGGATCACCGTAAAATACCCAAGTTTTCCTTGGTGGAACGATTTTTTTTTAAACTTCAGCATTCTATTAAGATTTTCTTCCCTTTAAGTTAATGTTTAGTTTTTGGAACTTTAACATCATTGTCTCAGAATTTCTGTTCCGCTTACGCCTTGGGTGTATTGAGAACATTTAAAGTGTCCAATTCTTATTTCCGTGGGTTTGGATTACACAGCTGTCTGCAAAAGAAAGGGAATTCATTGGGTTCCTTTCTGACTCTGAAGCCAGCAAGATGCTAATCAGGAATGCATCTGAATAGGATTCAACTAGGTGACAAAGCCCGTGCCTTAATAAACAGCTTCGCGTTCTGTCCATGGAGTGTGCAAATGCTGTCATCAACTAAGAAATACGGTGTGGCTGATGAATTAGCTGAAATGATAAGCAGCTGGTATTACATGTATTGCTGACTGGTGGAGGATCTTGGGATTTGTGGTACCAGAGAGGCCATAGGAAGGTAGAGATGTGTGTGTGTTTCTATAAGACCATTGTAACTTTGTACAAATCTGAGTTAATAAATAAAACTCTCTCCAGATATAAGTTTCAAGGTGGAGTAAATGCTGGTTAGACTCAACCATGCAATAAACAGAAATGTGCTGTTCAAATCCCAGAATTGTGGACAATGATTATTTCCTGTGCTGCTGTTACAATTAAAGTTACCAAACTAAAGGAAAAATATAATGGATTATTGAATTTAGTAGAAGTTCCTTGGGGGGAGGAGGGACAACTTAGCTTAGTTATACAAAGTAATTAGGCGCTCAGATTATTAGAACGTGAGCTGATCCATGGTTCTGGTCTCAGGCCTACAGTAAGAAATAAACACATCTATCTGTTTCAGAGCCAGTTTTTCTATGGAAAGATTTTTGTGTTTTGAAAAGAAATGGCAGCTCTGTAACTTTAATGTCGTTCAGGGCTAGGGAGAAGGAGAAAAACTAAATAGAATGCACGGAAAAGCTGCCTGTAATTAGTATAGGGGGAGAGAAAAAAAACAGTAAGCATTCTGGAGTTAATGCCAAGTTGACAGAAGCAGGTAAGAAACTAAGCATGCTTTGGGTGAGCAAAAATAGCCCTGTGAGTGCATGTTTTTTGAGACTGTGTCTTAGGAAGGGATCCCTTCATTGTTCAACTTATTGCACATCGGTTCCAGTAGACCCTCGCCATGGAAATACTACATGACAGGCTGTTGCATAGTGAAGTATGTAATGTTTGTCTTGTTTAAAAATGCTGTTGAGTAAACTTGAGAGGTTTTGTGAGACACGTTTCATAGAGTTCAGATACCACAAAGTACAACAATAAATCTCTTCACAGTAGTAGTGGATTCTGCTTATCGTTCTAATATTGAAAAACTCTGGTGATGGAGAAGCAGACGTTAGTTTTAATGCATTACAGAGTGTAAATGCAATTTTCTATTATACTTTATTTCAGAGCGTCAAGTCTTTTAATTTTGGGCCAAGTTAAAAGATTTGGGAAGAAAAAAAAATCATTAGAATGCTGTTTAAAGGTTTTTGCTTGGGTTCTTTTGGGGGATTTTTCTTTCATTGGTGTTTGGACCATGTTTTCAGATACATTTTTTGGAAGTGGACAGGGACACGTTTAGCAATAGTCCTACTTCTTTTGAGAGAGTAAATATAATTTTGATGTCTGGGAATTCTTTTTGAGGGAGAAGGGTGAAGAAATGTAGAAATTACAGTCAAAATCCTTGCATCCCTTGACTTTGTAACCCATAAATTAAGGCTTTTGTGCTGTGAAACGCTCAATGCTGAAGCATGATACCTCTAACGGCTTCTACACTAATACATTTCTGTACTCCTTATTTTATGTCTACACGTAATTGCAACATCTCTACTTTACCTTTGTAACCTCTATTGCTATCTTGGTCAAATTGTTTTGGCTGCTCAGAATCTCCTTTATTATAGTGTAAAATTTGGATGTGGGGAATTGCAATTTGGGGTGACTAAAAGGAACCACACTAGTACGGATATAAAACAGGGACAGTGTAGGAGTAGTTTTATATTTTGGGGTTTTATACTCTGGATTGAAATTGGTCCAAGGAAACCAGTAACCTATTGGACAATGATTTTTCTTACAGACAATACAAAAAATGTTTTTATGGCTGCTAATAATGGCTGATTGGGTGGGTTGCTAGTTTCCCTAGTTCATCCATTTGGGTATCTGGGAAGTTCATGATCTCTGGAAAGGCTCATAAAAAGCATTTTGACTCCCAAAGCCTTTCCAGAACAGCCATCATATAACCTTAGCCGTGCAGCATTTGTCTTTCAATGCCATTAGCGGCATTTTGTAAACAAATGAACTTGAACTTTCTTTTTTTGTGGGGGGGGGGTCAGCAAAACCAGAAGAGCTAAAACCAGTGGAGCCTGTGACAGGAAGTGACATCACAGCAGCTCCAAACAAAGAGCTTCCTCCAAGCCCTGAGAAAAAGGCAAAGGTAGGTGGGCCATTATTTCATGGCTTCTTTATACTCTGCTCCGTGGATCTGGTTTCCCCTGCCTGCTTCACTCCCTGCTTCTTAAGCTGTGATGAGACAGTTCTGTTTTCTGAGCTGGTGGCTCCTGGGAAATATTTAATTTGAACACTGAACAATGTAATTCAATTGTGAAGTAACAAACAAACTGGCCTTCGATAAATCTAACTAAAACTGGATTTAGCCCAGCAAATTTATGCTAAATTTAATGCAAAATAATATATTAAGCAATGTCTGTGGTAAGGAGAACAATAGATTTTCATAATGACATTTCAAGAATATTCATATTTGGGCCCACTTAATAGTGTCTGTAGTAAGACGAAGGACTAACTGCAGTTTCATTATTGTAAATGTGTTTGCATTTCAGTAGCACTCCTAGTCTGCTAGGCAAGGTACAGATTGTCTCTGCCTCGGAGGTGGCAGTAATCAGTGGAGTCTGAGCCAGAACTTTTATTCGAGTTTTGAGCTTAAGCAGTAATCTCGGTATTGGTGAATGCCTGCCTCCGCCCCACTCGGTCAGTGGGGTGAGGCGTTCCCGGAGGACCTTGGTTTTACTTTCATTCATATTGTCCCCGGTGAATCCAGAGGAATAAATTTTAAACAACAATCTCCAATCTGGTCCCAGTGGGGCTCTTCCATTGAGTCTGCGGGTTGGCCCTGGACTCCAACAGGGCCCCCTCCCCCTCTCCGGCCTGCAGCCTGATCACAGGAGTGGGACTCTGGGAGCCTGCAGCTGCCCCCGCTCCCCGGCCTCCAGCTGGTCTGGGAGGGGCAGGCTCCATGGGGCTGGTCCTGGCCTCCAGTGGCCTCCTCTCCTGGCCTGCTGCTGGGCTGAGGCTGGGCTGCGGTTCCTGGCCCCAGCATCTCCTGAGGGGAGGGGCACCATTCCCTGCCTCAGCCTCTC